ACTCTCGTAATAACAAATGTTCGTAAAAATTGTATGTTCGGAGAGATATTATTTGTTTCTTATGTATTGTTAATCATGCTCTTCGCTGAGCACAACGAGAGATGATTCGCAATAGCTTCCTTAAAGATCGCAGATCTCAAATGTGACGATCAATTAAGATCGTGCACAATAATAAGTAGGCAGATTTTAACAAGAAAAATAGTTTTGCATTGTAAAAATGAGAATAACGAAAGGTTGCTGTACATGTGAATTTAATGTAAATGTGTGCTTCAAGTCAACATATTTTTGCTATATTTCAATGCAACGAAATAAACAATAAAAGAAAGTCATACTATATTCCTCGTTATAATCGGCCCACCTGGAGATGCAACTTCAGTGTACTTTCGCGCGTACACTCTATAAATATAAATATAAATATAAATATATATATATATATATATACACATATATGTATATATATTACGATACAAAAGATTTATATCTCTACCTGTGCCACGTGGTGAAATTCGCGATGTAACGCGGATTAATCGGCGGTAAGGCTGAATCGCGACAAGGAACCCCTCCACACACCACCGCGTCTGGACATCGTGCCGATAGAAACGATCCACTAAACCGATCGCGTTCCTACCGCGTCGCGACCACCCTCTTTTGCACCGCGGACGACCGCCGTCATCCCGACTCCGCCGCGTCTCATCTCCGTCGTCGCAGTCACGTCTTCCGAGGTTGAACGAGGAAGAAGGACGGCGAATTTACAAGAGAAAGGAAGAATGAGCTTAAAAGATGGAAAGAAGGGGACAGGGACGAACGAGAGGATAGCGGTCGGGAGTGGCGGGAGACGCGGGGGAGAAGGGAGGAGTTGGAGGATGGTGGAAGTGTGCACGGGGTGGGCACACCGAGTAGGAAAAAGGGGTGGCGAGGGGGCGCACGGCCGGTGGGTCGTTATTTTTGTGCCTGCTTCGTCTTTAATTTCTCCCCACCTTTTGCGCGCCGCGGCGCTGACGCCGTGCCGCGCCGCACCGCACCATACCGCGTCGCGCCACGCCGCGCCACGCCGCGCGCTTCGCCGCGACGCCGGGCAGAGGAGCGCTGGCTGGTTGGTGTGCGGTTGTCTTAGTTCGTATGCATATCTCAGTGCCTCACATATTGATTCAGGGCGTCATTACGCGTCTTAGCTCGGCCCACTCCCACCACTGCTTAAACCACCCTCCACCACCCTCTTTCCAGTTCTCGCCAGCCCCGTTCGCCCCGCGGTCTCCCTCGCTCGGCCCGTCGTCCTCCTCCACCTTCTTCACCTCCAGCCACCACCGTCCTCCTGTGGCTCTCCTTGCCGACCCGACCACCCCATCTACCCTGCACGAACCTTTACTACCCCCCAGCTGGAAGAATCTTCTTGCAGACCGGTCCTTCCCTATCCCCCGTTACCCTTCGCCATTCTAGCTTAAGCGACACGCAAGTCTCGTCGCTCTTTCCCTTTCTCTCCGTTTCGTGTTTAGGGCCGCGTGTGTGCTTCGCGAGCGTGTTTGCCTTGGGGAACACGTGGGGCCGTGTATATTCGCGTGTACCCGTCGTCTTCAGCGCGCCAACTGGCATAATCGATACGAAATTAATTTTGATTACGATGAATGTTTTGTTTCTTAGCGACAACGAAAAAGTTTCTGGTCATTCTCGTTGACGGAAATTTAGTATACAAATATAGCGGTGATTTTATATAATGATTATATGTAACGCTGCATGATTTTGTTTGCTGAGTTATTCGATTAATTATGAATAATCGATTCTTTCTTTATGATAAGATATATATACATGTGTATATTATATATATTATATTCATTTTAAGAGTCTAATAAAATCTTTCTAACTCGAATGTTAAAGAAATAAATAAATAATAATTTTAGTTACACATAAAGATTTTGCGACTCGTCGACTATTTTAAATTAAAGAGTTTCGGAAAAGAGAATTTTTTTTTGATTCGTAAAAGCTCAGACAAAATTGTATGACCGCAATTATAAAACTGCAAAATGTTACACAATTTAAACATATAGTTTTAAATATATCTTTTTTTAAATATTTGTATTTTATAGATTAGTTATTATAAATTAAAAAATTACTGAAAATATTACGTATATATACATATAAAACTAATATAAATTTGCTTTTACATAATTAACATTGCGTGTGGTAAAACAAAAATAAAAAATGTTAAATAAGTTTTCAAACAAAAACCAAACAACAATGATTACATTTTGTCATGATAGAATGCAACTATTATATCATTGATATCTCAATATAAAAAAGTTTTTTTTAACTTTGTAAAAAATACTTTATAATTTCTCATATTTTTTTAAATTGATCATATCGCCGTTTTATTATTACAATGTTGGTAACGCCATCTAGCGTACGTAGAATACAGCGTGTAAGAAAAGGAATGTTACTCTCATGATATTATGTACGTGAAGATCATATTTGATATATTTATTTGGTATGAAAATTACGCACACTTAATTATATAAGATATGTATACGTCATAATTGACCTACTTTCAAAAATATAATTACGTGTGTGTAATTGGAACCGATATTTCTTTAAAAAATCTTCAAAAGAAGTATTCAAAAGATTGCTTCTTTATCAACCAACTTTATAAAAAAAAAACGACGGAAAAATATGTGTATATATATATATATATATACACATATATATAACTTCTAAATATATAGCATAATAGTAATAAAATAAAACAATATATATAAAATCTTTTGTATATATAATGAATATCAACTTACAATAATTATATACAGGGTGTCCCACCTAACTTGAACATCCTAAATATCTCGCTCATTTTTTATGATAGAAGGATGCCGAAAAAAGTAATTATTCAGTTCGAGGAGACAAATACTGTAATAAAAAATTTTTTGGATTCGTCTTGACCTTGCCTACCATATCTCGATAAAAATATGTACTTTCAGATAAAAAAATGACAATGACTTTGAAATCTTAAAAAATTTCTTGTTTATCACAGTATTTATTTCCTGAATAATGACCCTTTTCGGCATCTTCTTATCATAAAAAATAAGTGAGATATTTAGGATGCTCAAAGTGGGACACCCTGTATACTTTCATTAGGCATTTTATTACTAATGTTAAAAGATGCACATAATTAAATTTTTATGTGTATTTTTATGTGTTTGGAGTAAAATATACGTCAATGATAATTCACTATAAATAAGTGGCACAATATCTTTGAAAAAATGTATGATAATTTCTACACGTAACTACCTATCATCTACGTCCTTATTATTTGCAACCGTATAAGAAAATGAAAGATAGATTGAGAATTTTCAATGACTTCTAATTACATTTGATTTGAATATATTGATGCTGCAATGTCGATTGTGACGGAATTATGCGAGCTCAAGACACACGCTGTGTTTATGTGCACTTTTACGTACACGCGTTTGCAACGTGGAATCGAGTCTCGTCGTGGCTTTGGCGTACAAGTGAAAGTTCACATCTCTGTAGACATGCATCGAAACGAATCAAAATATTTGTCCGATCATTAGTTTACGATCATTTTTTGTTCGACAAAATGCGTTTGCTGTTTGCAATTAGCAATATGTGTGTATTAATAACATTAAATATTTTGAAAACCGTTTTTATAAGATTTAAAAAAATGCAAAAAAAATATTAAAAGATATATGATCTATCAGTAATTATTCAATGAGATGTTAATTAATTGCTATAATGATGAGAACGTTTCGATAATTAATTTTTTTTGATTATCATCAATTAATTTGTATAATTAAATTTGTTTTGGATATTTTTTGCATTACATTCTATTAATTTAGTAGTATAAAGTCGACATACGTGCTAATTGAATTCCCCCAAAATATGTTTTCTTGTTCTTCTAATTATTTCAATTAATACAACTTGTTGCACGAGACACATCAGTTACAACATTCTACGGATTTGCATACAAAACAAATTATGGAGACAAAAATTCCGCGAGTTCAGATATACAAAAACAAAAGAATGCTCAACTTTCCAGTCGGTAAAGACGCGGACGCGTCTTTTTTCTTTAAACAAAAAGAAAATATTGTAGTGTTTTTTACAAACGTTATTTGTTTTGCTAAATATATTTTTACCAGAAGCGAAGTTTTTATGTTGTATAGTAGCGGCCGTTAAAAATACGCTCGCTCGCGTCATATATTCTACAAATATTTACTTATGTGATATAATAATCCATTAGCGCTTTTTACCGATAGATATTTACACATCAAATTGACATGTTCCGACATTTCTCGTTTACAAGCGTTTTCGTTTAGGAAACGCTTGTCAAATCTCTTAAATGATTTATTAATTCTAGATTGAATAATACTGCTACATATTTTTCTTACCGTTGTATCTACATTGAATCGTTGCTAGAAAATTTACTCAGCACATTTAGTCTTTTATCGTCGTGACATAAAAACCTGTATCGCGAGCTAATTGTAATTACTATATATGTACACACAATGACGGACTGATGCATGCTCGACATGTGGACATTGTGGCACACGCATATAAGTAGTACTTCCTACTCCATTTAAGTAGTATAATGTGGTCATGAGAGATTGGCCTTTAACTGACATAAAACGTAGTTAAAAAAATCTGTCGATATTCTCGATTAATGAAGGTACGATTAGAAAATAAATTTATCTCTTCTTTACTATCGGATATATCTGTAATTCATCTACGTTAATAATAAAAATTTGTAGAGAATATTCTTAGCAAAGTTTTCTCAATTTCTAATTAGTAGAGTGGCACAATTGCGCCACATATTGCTCCCGCATTCCGCTTGACCTAACTCAACAGAATCGTTTTGTCCATCTCAGAGAGAATAATTTAAAAAATTTTTTTTTTTTTTTTTTTACTTTCGCGTTGTTGCGCGATAACAAAAGAAGAGAAAGTTTTCTGTGATACATACGCGATGCGTATCAGAGAGAGATCAGTTGCGGCGACCAAGTTGCAAGATTCGGTCGTATACGCGCGACGCGTTGTACGTTCTTGCAAGGTGAACAAGTTGCCGTAACGTGATTAGAGCCCGCGTTTCTTTTCTCAGTGAGATATCGCGAAAAATTTCAAAGTGTCAGATTGAGATTCATCTCTCGCGTAAGGCAACAGTCGCGTTTGTCGTTGCGATTTCTGTTTGCGAATATCTCGGAAGAATCTTTGAAAATTCGGCAACTTTCCGAGACCACCGCGCACCGCGCACGATGTGCGTATCTCCGTACGTGCGATAAGTGCTTCTTCAGCAGTTATGCTCGAAAGTTATTGTTGTGCGCGAACGATTAGTCACATCGCCGAACGATTACAACATTGCGGCGACAAATCGCTGCGCCGTTGTTGGAAGCGGCAACGAACGAACGAGCAAAAAACGTAGGAAGAAGCGGATTCCATCTGCGTCAATTACTGACGTCGTGGTCGGTTCGTGAAGACCGACTTCCGTGTGCGCGGTGGACGGATCGTGGAATCAGTTCTCCGCGACGACGAACGTTTAACGGGAACCCGTAGAGAACAAGAAGAGTTCCAGTTTAGCCGCGGCTTCCAAACCGTGCGCGAGTCGGAGATAAGCGCGCCGCGCCCTTGTGACGGTAATTGAGTGAAAATTTCGATTGGGTTTAGGTTTTGGGAAAATTGCCGGGAAAATCGTGAATAGGAGAACGCGAACAAGTGAACTACGCGGTATGCGCGAAGTGTCGCGGCGACTATCGATCGAGAGGAAGAGGAGACTTTAACGCGCGTAGAAATACCAGGCGTCCAGATTTGCCGGATATCGCAAATCGCGCACGCACCTGTGACTAAATCTTTATATTCTATCACAAAGTATGTTTTATTTAGCGATTACAGTTTATTACTAATTTTGTTATCAATATGTGCACTAATGTTTCAGCACACGAACATTTTTCAGTTTTAATATTTTAACACACATCACGCGAGGATAACAAGCTTCTCTGCAAACTTCAATTATGTCATGTCGAAAATTGTTAAATGATTCGAGATATTCTTTTCATTGTTAGAGATACGTTAAATACACACTTCGCCGTTCGCGCGTGGCAAATTATGCGGGAAATACCAATGAGGTGTGTGTTCAGTGCAAGAATGTTTAAGTGCAAAATTCCGGTTTGCTTTTCGTTTCGACGAAATTCGCAATATGTAACACGTAACACGTGTTTCAAATCACGATACGCATGCAATGCACCTTGGCTTGCGTAATTTCGTCTGTTGCTAATAAAAATACACGCGCAACTTGAATGTGCGCGAGTTTGATCTTATTTCTCGTTTGAAATTTATATCGAAACGATATTGTGTACAGAGCTATCGTCACTTGTAAACATCACGTTCTTTCTTTTATTTTATTTTTAAAAACGTAAACACACATTGCTCACCTTCTTTGTTGAATAACGCAAGTTTAAAGTAGCCTTCTTATCTTTTTCCACGCGATACACTATCGTGTGCGAGACACTGACAAAACGAGTCGCAAGGAAGCATTAATTGCTGTCACTGCAATTACTACGGTCGCGCTTGTGCGTTTACGATTTCTCATAGATTCGTAATCTTCTAAGAAAAAAACTCGGCCGGTTTAATTGTGAGAATAATGCAAAAAATGTTACAGTCAGTTCTCGGTATATCTATTCTATCTAAACGTTTTTTTTTTTACAAAGCTGCAATGACATTTTTATAGTTTACAATAACAAAATAAAACAGATTGTGCATTTTGATACCGATAAATATTTTGAAACGACCGGCTTTGCTTGTTGCCAGAAGCAACGATGTTAACATAACTTTCCTTCTTTCGTCATATTCCGTAATAATACACCGTAATTTTCTTGTTCTCGTAAGCGCGCTCTTTATGAAAGAAAGTATTTAAGAATTCGCATTCTGCTAACTAACATGATCAGTAAAGGAAAATTTTTCTCTTATGTAATTATGTTTGTCTACGTGTTGAAAAATTGATTTTTAAGATTTTATACATATATATGTTCTCAAAAATTTATTTTTATTATTATAAATTATAACATATTATATGTCAAACATATATATGTTTATAAGACAAAACATATACATATATATATGCCAAACATATGTATGTTTTGTCTTATAATATAATATACAATATACATATCATCTGTTTTATTCTCTTTTGTGACCTATAGACAATTATTGTGCAATTATTGACGCTTAATAAAAGCAGACACGTGTATCGCATCGTGTATAAATGCATAATCGATTGCAGATGTTATAACCAGTCGCGCTATTGATTAAAGTAGCTGAATACATCGGTCCAATTGCAAACACATCGGAAGACGTGTCCATATGTCTTGCGAATGTAGGATGGACTTTCTCCTGACGCTTTCTCCGGACAGTGTTTCATGATAGCGGAGATACCAGTTCGCGGCCGAATCTCGTAGATATTTACGATCATAGAAAGCCACGTCTCTTACCTTGTTCTGCACAGTTATGTTGCGAAACTCATAAGAGCTAGCTCATTACAGAAACTTCCCGCGGTGTTATGCGAATTCTAGCGAGATTCTCTATTGAACGCGTCCGATCAACTTGTCTCAGATATCGCGAATATCTAAATACAACAATCAAGACAATGAATTCTCCTTGAACTGAAATAAGATGATCAAAAGAACGTGTTGTAACACTTTCTATCAAAGTGTAACAGCCTTTTTTACATTTTTTCTTTTTTTTTTTTCTACAGAGAAATGCCTGCGTTAAAGCTCTTCGGACGAAAATGGTTGGCCGCAACCGACGATCTTGTTTATCCCGGCTTGTTCGAATTATTCATTCGCATTATATGGTGAGTGTTGCTAATTATAAACAACCACAACTCTATCGTTGAATAAGTTATTATCATAAATAAAATATGGCAAGCAAATACGTATGAATAAATTACGAATACATGTTGCAGTTTGTTACACACGAGCTGTTTACTCTGTTTCAAGGTTTATCGGTTAAATATGTGTTTTACAGGTTCATTCTTATAGGAATCGCATGTGGAAAATACTACGAGGATACGTGGAATTGTCGGTTGGGAGGTGAATTGGTGCGCGTGTACCTCCTCGGCGAAGCGGTCATGCTTGGTATCATCACGCTTTTGATACTCATCATCATCAGGCAAAGCGCAAAGGGGGCCATCATGGACACGCATGCTCGACGCTACGTTGAACCTCTCCTAATGATCAAGTAAGCACACACACACACACACACAAACATACACACACACACACACACAATAAAAGTAAACTAACCTCATGACAATCAGCTTTCTAGACTGATAACTTTCTGAAAAACTTTCATGAGATACACTTTTTCAAAGTGAATGTTTTGTATCTCTGCAACATTATCTTTTTTGTAATGACCGCGTATAGATCACCTTGAAGTCATGATCTTAGCGATATAAACATTATATTAATATTCTTTTTATATTGCTAGGATTATGACTTCAAAGCTAGCTATATAAACATTATTCTATTGTAGCATGCAAGATCGCAATTTTCTCGTAATACAAAGTATAATACCATGAATTATGTACTGGTAAAAAGAGTCATGAGAGCAATATAAAGCGATATATATGTATATATAAACGGTTTTATAGATTTTCTTATTGTGTTCCCACATTACTGATGTAAATGATTACATTTGTATAATTGTATCTGCAATAAGTGCTAAGTCGAGATCTTGATTTCATTACTGCTACATGTTTATTATATTTACGTTGGTATAATAGAAAAAAAACAAGACATAAAAACTAAAACCTTGGTACATATAGTGACCAAAAAAATAGGTATATTAAAATATATTCAAAAAAACATTTAAAACGAAAAACCGAGAATTAAGCGTTACGGATTTTCGTTAAGCTATCACTATAATGTCGCAATAAGATTAATTTTATGCAGAGCATTGGTCATTAGTAATTAAAATGGTAAATATACAGAAAAGGGGAGCCCCCTCCGATTGGCTTCTCGTTCACATATATAGCGTTACGGATTTTCGTTAAGCTATAATGTCGCAATAAGATTATAATTTTATGCAGAGCATCGGTCATTAGTAATTAAAATTTATAGAATAAATTTTAATATTAATATTCAATATACGTAGTTTTGATCAATATACCGACATGTGATTTTCATATGTCTAGTTAAAATTGTCAAATCAAGATCCAAGGGAAATTTTCTCGTCAAATCAAATTTAACATTAAAAAAAAATAAAATTCCTTGGCATATTCAGGATATTGTTACTGCTGCCAGAGATCGTGTGGAACATTTTGGGCACTTTGTGGATTTTCGGACAGAGCGTAGAGTGCAGTCACGAGCACTATTCTGTCACTGTTGTCGAAGCCCTGGTGTTTTTCGACTGGATCCTGATCGGTCTCAGCATCTTCGGCCTCGCTCTGGTATTCGATCCGATCGGCTCTCTGGAAAAGAGACATCTAGAGAACTCCATCGAGCACGGCAAAGTCTCGCGCATCTGGCTGCGGAGATTCAAGTTTCTCTGGTGGATGCGCAAGGACGAGAGCGCAAACGAGACCTTCCAACATGTCGCTGGTGAGACATAGGTATGGCTGACCTGCGAAGAGGTCCTGCCGCATGTTGAAACTGGAACGCAGACTTTTGTTCTTGTTTTCGTAAATTGGCCGTGCGAATTCGCCGTAAGATAAATCGATCGATCATTGTTCTGGTTTTTTGGCACCGGTGGGACTTTCTTCTCGATATAAGTCATTGTCTCGTAGTTTGGGGATATAACAATTTGCGCGTTCGTAATATGATCCTTACAGGAATTTATTACTGGATATGGCAAAAACAATAATTATTTCGAGCATTAAAATCACTATTGAACAACTGTTTTTTATCACTCAAAATAAATATTATTTTAGCCACTATAATAATAAATTTCTGTTAGGAAATAACGCGTTTGCGTGTAGCAAAAGAAGTTTCACTCGCAAAATATATCGCAAAAAAAAATTTATATTACATTTTTCAAAAACCTATGATTAAGATCATCGCTTTTAATTTTTAATATGTTCATTCTTTATAATAATACCGACAAAATATTTTTGTAGGTCTTTTAACTGCGTTATTCAGAGGTACCGACTTGGTTCCTTCAGACGTAGTAGCCGGTTGCATTTTATTAAGAGTTCGACAAAAGCGAGAAACTCATGAATTACAAAGGATGAATCTAATTGAGAGTCCAAAATACACTTCAGGTAGACGCGTATTATGTGACATGTATTTTTACGTGAAAAGATTTGTTAAACACCGAATAAGTTTATTATAATGACAAAATTGCGCCGTTCGTATTTTGCAGACGGCAACGAGATTTTTTTTGGTATGCCTAACTGGATGTCCTTAGAAGCTATTCATCATTTCTTGCAATTGTCAATTGCTTCCTACGGTTGGCTTTTTGTAATATATCAACATATGTGTACTGGATGTTTTCGTTTGGCACGAGACATGACATGCTGCGCTTGTTTCCGGTAAAATTTATATCACACACGCGTGTAAATTTTCTTATTAGATTTAATATACTTTAATTTTAAAAATTATATTTTAGACGAAAATCTAACATTATTCTGGATGACAATTGCTGTCTCTGTTATCTTTCTGGGGTCAAATATCTATCGCAAGTCTCCGAGGAAGATATACTTTTTGCTTCCTTCAAGAATCACTTGTGCCAAGTTTGTATCTTCTTGCTCATGTAGTAGACATATTATTATTACACGCTCTTTTTACACGTCTGCCCCGATGATTAAATGTCACGGCGTAAACTTTTGCAGATACCTTTCTGTGTAATTGCCGATCATAAAAATGCTAGTATCGTTATAGTCATACGAGGCTCGTTATCCTTGCGAGATTTAATCACCGATATTGCGGCCGCGGCCGATACGTTTGAATGTCCTAACGTTCCTCCAGGAAGCACAGTTAGTAATCTCTATTTTCTTTGTATGTGAATTAAATTAATGCACATATAAGTAATATAAAAATTAAAACATCGATACAGGCGCACAAAGGTATGATACTAGGAGTGAAAATAATCTTAAAGCAACTGGAGAATTATAAAGTTCTGGAAAGAGCGTTTGCGACGTATCCCAATTATCATCTAACACTCACAGGTAAGCACGTTTACGATAAACTGCTTTGTCAGTGCGTATAAATGCAAAAAAAAAAAAGGAAAAAAACAAATGACGCATGTGTTCGCGCAGGTCATAGTTTAGGAGCTGGTTTAGCTATTCTACTAGGATTACTGATACGTCCTCGATATCCGCATCTGAGAGTCTACGCGTTTTCCACACCTGGTAATATTATTTATAATTCTATCGATTAAAATATTCGTCGCTAATGATTATTATTCTTATTGCTCGTGGCATCTCAAAGTTTACAATTTTAATCGAATTGTTCAAAAAGCTGGACTGCTTAGCAGAGATGCTGCCAGAGTCACGGAAGAATTCGTGCTGACCGTAGGACTTGGAGATGATCTCGTAATGAGACTCAGTGTGGATAGTATAGAAAACTTGAGAACGACATTACTGACGACTCTACGAGCTTGTCGAATACCTAAGGTATTTCGATAGGTATTTTGACTTGTAATTTTTACGAATTTTTAAGATAAGTGAATTGAACATTGTTTTTTGTTTCAATAAATACTTCTTGTAATTTTAGTACAGAGTGGTATTAAACGGACTTGGATACGTTCTGTTCGGCGTTCCCGAGAGAGATTTGAACAAAATATGGATAAACTATAACATAATTAACACAATTTGGGATCAGTCGCCTATATTCGGCAAATATTTCAGCGACACGGTAAGAACAAATATATCTGTATAACATAAAAGGCACAAAATATAAACATTTTGCTACACACACACACATTTGATATTTTATTATATTAAATAATGTTTTATTAATTTAATATATGTTGTGTTTTCTCAGAATAAAATCATAGAGCGTGACATAACGAGAAGAAGATATTCGAAAGAAAAACTGTTTATTGCTGGTCGTATACTTCACATATCAAGGTGTAAGCCTGAGCAAATAGAAGGAAAAAAGTACGTGAGTCGTACATTTTATATACATTTTATACACACATTTTTCTAATAATAATTACATCAGTTTTTCTACTTTAAATTTAAGAAATAGAAATATGTATACATATGTGTGTGTGTGTAATTTATATTTTTGCGCGCATTTAGTAGAAAAGAACTTGCCAAGGAAAAAACATACGAGATGCGATGGGCACAAGCGGAAGAATTTACGACATTATCGGTAATGCCACGTATGCTTCTAGATCATTTGCCAGAAAATATAGAAAAAGCTGTAGCCACGTTATTGGAACAACAGCATGACATACCTTATTATATTGATCCGTAATATCTAACCCAAAGAAATACATATATATAACTTTTTAAAATTTTATCGAATAGAACATTCTTTTATCCCGAAAATCACACATAATATTAAATACATTTTCACAAATATCACAAAGAATTTAAAAACAAGTCTAGAAAATGGAAAGATAATATAAAACTACAAAGTACAGCAAATGCAGAAATTCAATACACATATCAAAAATGAGTAAAAATATCAATAAAGATAATGAATATAAAAAAAACAACTTATATATATAAATAAAAATTATATATATATATACCACCACCAAATATAAAGATTGCGAATAAAGACAATTATTTTACAATGTATGTCTTTATTTGCGCATCGGAAATCAGTGCGAGATATAAGCGGACACTACGCATGCAATGTACAAATTGTTCTTTTCAGCTATTGAATAAATACATCTAATTTTGTATAAATTGCACGTATAAAGTTTAGTCTTTATATAGATTTAGTTCAATAAAAGTAACAAAATATCTTTAATAAATAAGTAAATATAATGAGATGAAGTCTTTTGCAAATGCAATTTAACTCTGAATAATTGTAAAATTGCCAATACGCGTCCAATGTGTAAAAAACTTTTTAGCTGAAAAGAACAAGTGATAAAAGTTGATTTTGCAACTCATATTTATGCGGTCCCTTCGTCGTCCATCGATGTATCTTCCTCTCCAACCCTCGGAATGTCCCTCATGGAAGTGACCCAACAGATTTTGCATCGTCCCACGTAGTCGTAGCACTTTTTATCACTCGCGACGCGGAAGACGCGAAATATATTTCCACACACACACGCGAAATTTAAATTTTACTACACTTTAAAGTTTACAGTTTTCCACAAAATCTACATTTTAATCATTACCGAAATTTTTACAACTCGAATAACACTTAAAAAACTTCAAATAAAGAATATTTTTATATCGGAACGAGAGTTTTGGTTTATTTCGATGATCCGTTGTTTGCGTAATATCCTGTTACGCAAGTCTCATGTTGGTCCCACAGTATATCACTGCGAGGACTTTCCCGCAATTCAGGTTTGCGAGAATTATGTCGCCTTATATTCAAGCGAAGTATAATATTATACGTACTTTTACGAATTGTATAAGAAAAACGTTTGTGACTCTATACAACAATACTACGCGTACAACTACAAAATATATTAATTTAAATTTAAATAAACGATTTAATCTAATTGCGCGGATATTTCTATGAAAAAACTCGGATAACATTTGAGTAGTTAAAAAATCTATTTTGTACAGATGCTAATTAGATTTTAATAAACAGAAGATGAAATATTAATATCTTTAAAATTATTTTTTTTCTTTCGCGATTTTATAAAATATACAAGTACGATCAATCTTTCGCAATATTCTCGAACATAATGAAATCAAAAATTGTAGAAATCAGAAAAAAGTATTGCAAAACTAATCAAAATAAAGTAAACGGAATAAATTTAATATTTTACGCGGAATAATCGCGATTTTAATCTAAGACTTCGCATTTTGTGGCGCAATTCAAGCGTCGATTTTGACGCAGTCAGAGCGGACAAAATTTCCGCTTCGATAGAGATTGAAACATCGAGAACAGTTTTCAAAAATATCAAATAATATATATCTTATTATGTAAAATCATGTTATAGTGATATATGTGTAAAATAATTTTTATTAAAAGACATATCAATTTCCCGATTTTGACTTTTTATATAATTTCCAGTATAATTGTTACTATAACTTAGTTTTAAAGAAGATTTATAATATCTCAACGTGTGAATTTAAAATGCATCATAATTGCACATATATCAGTAAAAATATACAAAATATACATAAATTATGTGCTCTATGTTTCAAAATCTGGTAAAAACAAAGATCTACACGCGATTCGCACTGATTTTAAACCATCACCATAACCCTAAAGTGTACTCACCGAGCGCTGGCCACTTTCTGCTATACTCTAATTCTGTAACAAAAAGAAAAGTTTCTTTTTATTGTTGGATGTAAAATAAGTTTACTTAAATATATCAAAATATACGTGGCTTTAATAAATAAAAATTTAAAAATGTTCTAGAAGAAAATGTATTTGACGTTATAAGTTATACATGAAAATATGATTGATAAAAACAACATACCTTCGTGCCAGCAATCCTGTTGCCTGAACCGATTCCTTCAATGTCGCTAACTGCTTTCTGGTGAACAATCCGTCAGCATCTGAAACAAAAAAATGACAGTAGAAAATTAATAAATATAATTATGAGAGAAAGGATCAGTAAATTTTTAAATAAGCTAAAGATATAAGTTATATTAAATATAAATTTTAAAACAGAAATGTTGTCTTTATGCTTATATAACACTGACCTTTAGTCTGCCTTATATTTTGTCTAAACTCCTCTGGCTCCTCTGGTACCGCAAACTCCTCTCCGATGCAAACTTCTCTCCGTCAGCACCTGAAACAAAGAATAATAAGAGAAAATTAATAAAAACAATTATGTGAGAATTTTGGACTTTGTTATTATATTTGTTATTGTGTTTTGCATTCGTAAATACGACACTGACCTTTCGACTTCCTTGAGATAGCCTGAACCGGCTCCTCCGGTACTGCAATCTCCTCTCTGGTCCGTGTAAAATAACTGTCGACGTCTGAAAAAAACACAACGCAAAGATAAAATTAGCAAACAATTATAAAGTTATTAAAAATTGTTACATATTTTTGTTAAAGAGTAGTAACATACCTTGTAACTAATGTTATACAGATCCAAATAAAGTCCTCCGATGTTAAGAACGTCCTTCAAATGCGTGGTGAATTTATGTGTCACGACTTATGTATCACATTTTTTATACTATTATTTTATTACAACAAAACCGATAGAAGATAGAGATTCAGTGATAATTTACATTTTAATATTTTATTTCTATATTATATATATAATATAGCACACGTGTATATTTTTAAATTAATACAAATTATTAAGAGTCCGATTATGGTAATCGAGAAAATCGATTTTCAAATATCATACAATCAAATATCCTAAAAACATCCACACGATTTGATCTGTCGCCAGACCTCCCCGTGAGCAGCGAAGATAGCAATAGATCCTTTTGCATCTAACTGCTACTGAGGCGAATCTGACGGCAAATAGATACATACAAATCGTGTAATTTCTTGGATTTTGATTCTCGTTCTGTATTATTTTTACTTTGTGTTTTTATTAGAATATGTTATCAATTTTGACTGGAAATTCTTATATTAATTATATAATTATTACATATATGTACGGAAAAACTAATAAAAGCAATTTACAAAAGTCGTGACACATTTTACAATCCGTACAACAGCTTGAACAAAATCGCAGACAAAATAGGCAATCTCTGTTTTGCAACATCTTAAAACAGAAAATAATGCAAAAGAAAAATCAATATTTTGTTATAAATAGCTATAAACAGAAATGTTGTTGTATTTTGTTTTATATTTGCAAACAATACGACACTTGCCTTACAGATGGCTCCTTTGGTGCTTCAAACTCCACTGCGCAATTTATACAACAACTTGGATAAGAATAAGGATATACAATGACCCTCCTATCAATTTCTTCACGATCTGAAAACAGAAAATAATATATACAAAAAATTAATATATTGTTATGATCAATTCTACCAAAATAAGAGACTAAATGAATTTTATCTAAGAATATAGAATATTTTATTTTTTAATGCGTAAAACGTTTAACTGTTGTCGCCGTATATACTTCGTATGTACACATTATATCATTAGTTTTTGTAAAAAAAACTAACCTCTGCATGACTGTGCCATCGGTGCGCGTGTTATTATGTGCTAGGCGAAAGGACGACTAAAGTAAATGCGTGCGAGAGCCAGTCATCCCTCTCCTCAATCTCATCTGTTTACTTCTCTGTAGTACCAGGCGTCAGACGTTCTACTACTGCTTGCTGAAAACAGAAAAAAAACTCTTATACTATACCGACATTGGCGCGAAATGATAATAATCGTGAGAAAATACGAAATAATTCGAACGTACTTTGTGTGTCGGCCATTTTGCGTCGCTCGCGCGCAAATGACCGCCGGGAAACAACACCACAAAACTCGTTCATTAGCATTACCAGCGAGTGCGCGACGCTAATTACACATTATCGCGGACACGCCCGACACTTCGCGACACACACGTAATATCGATATTTGCGCGTAAGATGACAATAATCACGAGAAACACGGGATAATTTGCAGACAGGTTTGCTCCGCGTCGCGCGTCCGCCACGACTGTGCCCACGAATCTATCGAAGCGCGCGATATTGCGATTCTCGAAATATCGAATCGAACGCGCGCGCGACAGTGTTCGCGGTATTCACGAGCGCGACTTCATACTTGTAGAAATACATATAATCTCGACACATATAATGGACGTAAATCATTTAATAAAAGCAATCCCTGTACGATCTACTATTTTGCAACGTTATAAAATAATATTTCTGTTACTTATATCTCTAATACATTAATATTATACAAATACTTTTACTCGAATTATTTTCTTTTTTCGTGTTACACTTTTATATATATATATACGTTGTGTAATATGGATTGTGTGGTTCTCTATATCGTTTTAACTATTCCGATTTTAGTTAAAGATCCGTTCGAGAATAGCGCGGAAAACATGTTTTCTCTCTCTCTTCGCGAATGACTACAGTTACAGAGTTACAGAGAAAATATTTCTACGAAAACTGTTTTTAAAAGAACGATTTTTCGAGCAAAACAAAAAGCTCGTCGTTGAGAACAATAACATTTCGGGTGTTGACTATATAACACTCTGCTATTTTTCACATTACGTGTTAAAATGCAAAAGAAATTTATCAAATTCTCGTTCTTTCTTTTCCCAGATAGTTGAAATTAATAATATTCCTCGTTTAACAACTACATGTCGGTCTGACTGATGGTATCAAGAGACGAGAAATACACGTTCCTTTTTTTCTTAGAGTGAAGATAAACATAATCTACGGGTGATTACTGAAAAAGAAATCAAACAAT